AATTGCAATTTAAAATCTTATTAATATTCATTCGGTAAATGTAATGAGAATTTTTATAGTCCGTTTTGTTTATTAATAACCTTGTTTTTAAAATGGCTATAAGCAATGAGAATTTTTACAATAGTTATATTGTTTAATTAAATTAACCTTATATAAAATCTAAAATTGAATTCAGTTAAAAGTAATTTTTAAAAATGTCTAAGTAAATAGATTAGAAAAGGAATTAGAAGAATCAAAATTGATGGAAAAGTATTGATAGGGTTTATTACATTCGAAAAAATAAACTGGAAAAGAGTTAAATTAAATAATATTTTCCTTATAAGAAAAACAAAAAAAGCGAAATTAATTTTCGAATTTATATAAATAATTCGAATTAAAATAAATTATGAATTTGTTATAAAATCTGTTAAAATAAATTCGAGAAACAGAAATTCTGAGATATTAAAAATGAAGAAAAATTATCACATCTCGGGTGTGACCAGGTGAGAGAAGGCTCTTAGCCTAGAGGAAATATTGTCGTGTATTTAAGAACGATTAACTTCCAAACGTGTCTTCTATTCTACCTGGGGTATTTTAACAACGAAAACTGGTTTTCTTATTAGAAAAAAATTGTAAGATGATCCGCCATCTTTAAACGAATTTAACTGATTTATTTTTGATCACATTAAATTCATTACTTTAACAAAGCTTATAAAAATGTATAGAATTAATTCTTTTAATAAAAAAACTATATTTAAAATAACACTGTAACATCAAAACTAGTAAAAATCTAAGTTATTTTTACAAATATTAGTTATTTAATAATAATGTAAATTCTATTTAAAAATCAATTATTAATCTTCAACAAAATCTAAAAAACCTATAAAATATCTCAACGCTTCATTCGTTTTCAGTTGATTAAAAAGATTATCTTGCACTAGAATCTTTAGAAATAAATCTAGAAATTTTACGAGTAATTAAATTAGACCTAAATTTAATTCATATTAAATTAAACGAATATTTTATTTATTTATTTTATAAATTTTACTATATTTAATATNCATTTCTTTAAATAGGAAAAATGATGTTAAACATATCTTTATATTTCCATTGATTTTAATCTGTCTTCCTTGTATGAGGAATTTACATAAAAACCGGAAACAAATTAATATTTGGACCGTAACCTTTCAATTTTAATTGCAAACGTTTTAATTTTAGAATATAGCCTAATCTATAGGCCTATAAATTAAACAATAATTAAAGAATGTAAACATTAAAGGAAATAAATTCCCATTTCTTTCTACAATCAACTATAGTCTATAGGTCTATATATATATATAAAACTATGTCTAGATTAGACCTACAGGCTTTTATATAAGAGCCTGTAGGTCTAATCTACATACAGTGAAATCCAGAGAAATCTATGCAGTATTTCATATTGTAGTTAAAGGAACTAATTTTTTTAAAAATCGAATATTTTATTTAAACATTACACTCAAGATAATCAAAAAACTCTTAAAATAATAATGACATAATTAGAATGCAAAAGAGTATATTTAAGGTTATTTTTTTATGATATATAATATTTTCTAAAGATTACAAATTGGCCATTAACATGAATTAATATACAACAGTAAAAAAAATAATAATAATAATAAATCTGAAAATAGGTCTATAAACGGAGATAAAATCTTAAATCTATTAAGAAATAAGGTTTATATCTTTCTGAATAAATATATAATAAAAAATTTAAATTTAAAATTATTATTTTAAAAATACAGAATAATGTTAATTTGCATATACATTTTTAATTTATCTATATGGTATTATTTCATAGGATATGGAATAAAGCTTGAAAACTTTAAAAATTGTAATTTAAAAAGAAAACTAAGAGGAAACTGTGTTATATAGGCCTATAGGCTGCATAATTATAGTTAATATTTACTTTTCCTAATTGTTTCCGATTTTCTTTAACAGGAATACAATACAAGTCGACCCCCCTATAACACTGTTGATAATTCCGTTTTATATGAATTCCATGTTGTACGAATCACTTAGATTTTACAAATCCATGAGCCGTTCACAGCTCGGCACACATATTTGTAAAATCTAAGTGACTCGTGCAACATGGAATTCCTATAAAACGGAATTATCAACAGTGTTATAGGGGGGTCGACTTGTATTTAAAGTTTTCCTGAAATTCATATTGTTCTGTATCCACAATGTAAAAATGTTATTGCAGAATTAATAGCTGTAAAATATATAAAAATTTCTATAAATATTGTTTATTAAGCTGACTATATTAAAACCATTTCACTTAAATAACAAATATATTTATCATTGGCTTTATATACCTAGTTTTTTTTTATTTATAACTATAAAAAAAATATCATATATACCTTATATAGCTATGAACTTAATATATGTGGACTTATGTAGATATTTTTGAATGAATTTTTTCTGTTTGAAAATGCTTAAAATTACATTAAATTACGGTACCTTTACCATTTGTTTCTTTATAAAAATAACCTTCAATTAATACGTAAATAATTCTAATATTTATGGGGATTTTGAAACATAAACATAGTATGATGAACGAAATTAATATAAAAAAATTAAATAATTAAAAATTAATGTTTTAGACCAGGAACCACATTGATGCCAAACACTGTCCTCTTAACCTCTTTAATAAGAAGACGTACAAGGCCTAATTATTATTACCACTGCCAATATCTTATTATCCGTAAGCCATCTGCTAAAGAAAAAAACTAGAAAAGTTGGTTGTTGATTATTATTTTTGACTTTATATCGTTTTAATCATTGCATGTTTGTAACATGGATTTTTTTACGGAAGGACTACTGTTTTGTATCAAGACCCTACGAAATTCATTTATATTCTAAAAGCATAGCTACTATTATTTCATATCTGATTCTCTAAGAACATTTACTGAATACTTAAGTTATATTTATAAAAACAACTTGAAATATTAAATAAAAAAAATTTCAGGTAATATACACGTAAATAGCCTATAGCTTGTAAGTTATAAAGTTTGCCAATTCTAATTTATCTAAACGAAGAAAGAAATTTATTACATGGAAATATTAATAATTTTACAGACGAAAAAAGAAAATTAACAGCTATCGAATGGACATTTTTAGACTACTTTGCATAAATTGTAGACACACAATAACGATACTCTTATTGTAAAGAAGACATATAGAAGATACAGGAGACTAATTATGATTGCAAGAAATCAAAATAAAAATATAACTGACATCAAAACCGACTACAAACAATACTAATACATTGATTAGAGGTCAATTAAATATAAATTATCTATGGTATACCTTTAAAAAAAGTAATTATTGTTATTTTAAAAATTAATAATAATAATAATAATATCTAATAGACGTGGACTATACTTACAATTATTAATTAAATTACTTATTTCATTTACAAGACGATGCTATATGAAAAATTATACATTAAAATATATTAAAAATATAAAATCGGAGTTTATTTTTGAAGGATAGATTAATAATAGTCTACATTAAGAAAATAATTTTTAAAAATTAAAAGTTTAGAATGTGAAAATAAGCTAAAATTATATGGCCTAGTAAGATATAACATTAATTTTATTCCTAATTGTTTTAAATCTTTAAAAATAAACAATTTCTTCCGACAAAGTAAGATTTAGATCCAAGGAAGTAGAAAATAAATCAATAAAGCGCTTCTAATAGTTACATTTAAATAAATATGTTACTAAACATCGTATTTCCTTCTAGTTCCGAGGATAGCTAAAAAACGATTCTTATCAAATGATATCAGATAACAACGCGAAATAAAGATAAAAATGAATTCTTCAGTAAAAATCACCTGCCGTAGCAGAATCGACGTCACCGTATTAGATAATTTCTCTCCCGTAGAGCACTTCCTCTATTACTTTCAATCAATAAGGCATTTTTATCGGAATACTTCATCGGGCATTCTATCATCGTCCCTTGCCGAATTTTCAGTGATGCGCTAATTTTCTGCCCTATAGTTAATACAAAACTATAACAAAGTTTCTTATTCTTCTTCTATGGACTTTTGCTAATTTATGAGTAAGATATTGAAGAACAATCGCGGGCACCTAACGGGAAGTAGCAATATTAATGAGACGGTTCCGGTTAACGCGCGTGCTATTTTGTTGTTGTTTTTTTTAATTGAGAAGAAACAGATAGTCTATTCTTACGATCAAAGCTTTTCTTTTGTTTAAAACAAATAGTTTTTCCTTAAGTTTTTTTAGGAATGAAAAAAATGAATGAAGTTACAATCTATTATTCGAAATTAGACTAAACTTCATTCGGGTGTTGGAAAAAAATGTAAGAGAATTTATTATATTATTACATATCGGAAGGAAGATTCCTCCAAGCATTTGTATTTTATAAACCCGTTCACGTACTATCCGACTCTATATCTTGATAAGAATGAAGTTATCAATATTTAGTCATAAGAATACAAGTTCTAAGTTATCATCATTAAAAAATTATGCTTTAAAATTTGGAATTATTAGTCTGTTCACTAGTTTTATAGCTTTATCAATTAAATGTATAAAAATTAATGTTGTTTAAGTATAAATAATGACAACATTGAATTAAATAAAGCAATTTCTGAACTATATGACTAAGATTTATTTTCTAACTGCTGACTTTGTTTTCGAATAACGCGATTTTAGACTTAATAACTATTTAAATTTTAAGCTATATATGAATCTCATTTTCGTTAAGTCTAGAAGAACAGAGAGAAATAAATCTAAAATACTTTCTATAGAAATAAAGTTAGTAACGTAGGTGATGTTTTATAACGTAATGTAGTTTTCTCTTTTAAAATAATTTAAACTTAGTTACAGAAAGTATAACGGTGACGATATAAAATAAAATACAACATTTTTAACTGTTAAAAACCGAAGACTGTTAATCATTTGCGTTAGGATGTTTAAATTCTCCTTCGATATTCATAATGATTAAATTCGTCTTACCTGAAACGAAACGAAAGTCGTGTAGATATGTACTCCGATCTCGAATGTCCTTGAGTATCAAACAGATCACTTTTACTGCCTCCCCCATTTTACCCAACGTACATTTGCTAGCAACGTTAGAACTGTCGTCAACGAATTGACAGAAGGAAGTACGAAAGCGCAGATGGAAAAACTGACACTCTTTCGTAGTTGAGAACCCAGTTGGTTGGTGGCTTGTTTTTTTCAAAGCCTGTTCTGAGGTTGATTCTGGAAAGAGTGTCCTGCGGGCTTGATTGGGTCGCATGCACGTGTGAACGATTCTTAGAAAATAATTTCTGTATATGTCTTAACGGTAGAATTAAAGAGCTACTTCATTTAACAATTCGGATCATAATAATTATTAAAAGAGAAGTATGTTTTAAAAGATGACACTGATGAAAGTAACGTTTTAAGGCGATTAAAACAACATGTTTTACTTAACGTTTGAGCTATCCCAATAGAATATTAGTATATTCGTTTCACGTATAAAAATTGCCGCCTTATTTTATACTTAACGTTAATACTAATGTAGGCCTGCAACTTCCACCGATAGGTCAGTGACATTATCTAATAGAAAATTTAGAGCGATAGCGGAAGTATGAAAAATATATAGAAAGTACCCGGATCCTGATTCGTGCCCCGTCTCATATTCTTCCTGTCTACGTTCGGACATGACCATACGAAATGACCGAGTGCAAACTGGGTGGAGCGCAAGAGAAAATTGAAATCTTCAACAGTTTTGGCGTGCCTCCTCTTTTAGAGCTCTCGCTAACTGGTTTAGTCGACACTGGCAATAACTGGTTGAGAAGACTTGTTCTGATGAACGATTGATTGTTTCTAACTTCAAAATTATAAACTGTACTTAATGACAATTAAGAGATCAAACTGATAAACTAGCCAAAACATTTAAAAACTTTTAACCCTGTTTAAACAGTATTTTGCTTTATGCCATTTTCAATCAAAATTATTTATAGTTTTTATTCGAGAGCACTTTTAAAAAAGTTTGATTTAATTATCCAGTTCATATTTTTTCACTACGAAATTTTTTGATATTATCGATGTAGGTCTATTTGAAATTTATTCATCGTGCATAAATTTGTTTAACAAATTCATCACTTAAGAAACGTTAAGGAGGTTCATATTAAAATATTAATTCAATGTTAAAATATCGATGTCTTAAACGCATTTAAATTATTATTATAATGTAATAGGTAAGTTTAAGGTCAAGATTACATATCATCGTTTTCCTTTTATTGTTTAAAAATATAATTTAAACTAGTTGCACGATGAAGTTGAGAGAAGATGTAGATAAACAATAATTTGGAAGAAAGCTGACAGGATAAAGTATCGCTTTCATTGGTCGGGTAGGTCCTTACGAAGTGATAGGTAAAAACACCTGCTAGATCAGGTCACAGAAAATCAGGTAAATAGTGCGAGTGAAGTAAAATTAGCCACCATTGGGTACTGGAACTTTACTTCCGTCATCTCGGAATAAAAATACCGGCTTAGAAAATGGGTGGCCTCGGTAAAGGAAGTAGGGAGATGATTGATTGGGATTTTAGTTTCAACAATAGACCTACTGCTGTATCGCATTCAATAGAATAAAGGGGCTTGTCTAAGAGAATTAAGGTAATAATTGTCAAAAGGCTTACTATGTCTACCAGCATTATTTAATCGGTTAAATTATTCAATTTTATAATCGCCGTCTAAGTAATCCCGAAAAAATTGGGAATTTGCACCAAATTAAATAACTCATTAAGAATTATTCGGCGACAGTATTTATTTTCATAGCTATCGGCTGATTGCAACGCAAAGAAACCAAGTGGCAGGTTTAAGTTGTGGATTATATCAATCAACTTAATGTTTATCCAATCAATTCAAAAGATAAGAGCATAGGCCTAGTAGTGGCGATATGTAAATAAATAAATACACCAATTATCTGTACAATACAATTTTATAATCAAGTCACCATTATGTGCAGGCGATTAAAAAAAAAAATTCTATTGTTAGGTGTCGTGTTGTCCTTAACACTGCACAATGCGATCCACCATTGTTTCTGCAAGAGGTTGGGTTTTTTTTGCATTCTTATGAAGTTCAATGAGTTTTTATCAGATCTAAACGCGATTACAACAATAAAGAACTCAGGGTACATGGTTATTATTATTTTAATGATACAATACACAGGAATTAGATAGTCTATATTGAAAATACTATTTCTTATTAAAAAAAAAGTTTTAANTTACGAATAATATAAATTTGAAAGTATACGGAAGAAATATATAGATGGATTATTGTTGAAGGTCAATTAAAGTTATATCTAATGAGGATTCTTCCTATAGAGTCTCATTAGTATATCACAAACAAGGGCATTATCCCAAAAATTTAAACTGATATTGAATATATCATATAACCTAAACTATTTAAATATAGGATATAAAAAATTGAAGTTTTTACACGTCCTTAATGTTTTCGAGTGAACCCCTCCCAACCCTTCAGCTACAAATTCAACGTATTTAATGAGGTTAGTAACTATGCCAGTGACCGTGTCGAGTTTATTGAAAAGAATTGTATTTCAGTTGTAACCGGCAGATTCTCCATAATTCCAAAATACTTGTAATTAATGCAATTTTCTATTTGATTATATATTTGAGTAATACGAGCTAAATGGCCTAGTTTAACCGCCTCTGTCCAGGAAGTATTTTTATGGAATATCCTATCCGCACGGGATTATTTACATCGAGTTATGCGCTTAACTATGCGACAATATATTTCTGATGAAACGATTTTCTAATATTTTCATTTCGAAAAAAAAATATTTCGAGTTTCACAACAAA